CGCGCCGTTCTACACGTGGAGAAGCCTATTAACCAGAAAAGTGACATCTCAACTAACTTAAAATGCCAGATAACTGAGCAGGAGGGGGGGGGCAAGCCAGGATGGATGGAGAGCTTCCTTCACCTGCTTTATGGGGAAAAAAACCTCATTTTTCAGAGCTACTGAATATGAATCTCCATGAACGAAGCAAAGGGAGCCCAGACAGGGCTTTCTTTGAAGTATGGGTTTAAAAAATAAAAAAAAAATGCCATGGCAAGGGATGTTAAAAAAGAAAAGAAAGAAAAATGGCTTGCTGTCAGGCAGGCTCAAATCAAAGATTGGGATCCACCAGATGAAATGAAATGGAAATTATACGTTACAAGGGCAGAGTCCAAGGACACAAGAAGCTGGGGAGTTATTTTTTTTTTCTCTCTCTGGGAGAAAAAAAAATTAAATCGGGGCACCCTGCCTGTTTTGGGAATCAGAAAGACGGAGACTCAATGCAAAGCCCTTTTTTGCTCAGCGTAAGGATCTGAGGATTTAAGGACTAGTAAAAAAAAAAAAATCAACAAAAAAACCCCTCCAGCTTTTCCTACATTAAAAATTAGAAGTTCTTAACCGGAGAGAATAGCTTCTTATTTCGAGAGAGACATAATTATAATGGGCTCTCATCCTTTCAAAGCCAGTTAAGGAGTGTAATCTTTTTTCTCGGCAACATTTAAACGCCCTGTTTATTCCTCGTGTTGGGAAGCGTATTACCAAAATGACTTCCCTAATAATAATAATAATAATATGCGGGCCCACTTGCACAAAAGCAGATATCCGTTGCCTTTCAGAGCACTGCCTCAACAAAAGCTGTGCTTCTTGGAACCCCAAATGCACACACAAAAGACAACCAGGGACTGTGCAGGATTGTGTCCTATAAATTCTAGTTAGCAGCTTAAGAAATAGCCATGAATCTCTCTGGGCAGGCCTAGAATGGAGTATTCCCATTTTCAGGAAAGGGGATTTTCCACCAGGTAGCCCTTGATTTAACCACCATTCATTTAATGATCGTTCGGCCCTGAAAAAAGCAACGTTATGACCGTTTTCACACCGCATCGCTATGGTCATGTGATCCAAACGACGGGCATCTGGCAACTGGCATGTACTTATGACCGTTGTAGGATCATGTGATCACCGTTTGTAAGCTTCCCAGCTGGCTATCGACAAACAAAGTCAACGGGGGAAGTTGGATTCCCTTAATGACTCGATGGTTCCGTTAACACAGTGGTTCTCAACCTTTTTAATGCCGCGACCCCCAACCGGTCCTAAGTCGAGGACTACTCAACCAGTCGTAAGTCGAGGACTACTCAACTGGTGCAGCACCGTTTGCAGAATGGGACTTTCGGCGGGCTCAGCAGGGCAGAGACAGCCTGGACCATTCCTATTGGCTTTGGAAAGCCAATAGAATTAGACTCTATTCAAGAGAGTCTCTTCTATTGGCTTTCCAAAGCCAATAGAATAAAAGGGAGTAGCACAGCTAAGGAAAAGGGGGAAAAAAATGGCGGACTGCATTGTTTGGCGACCCCCGTGAAATGGTTTTCGACCCCAAATGGGGTCCCGACCCACAGGTTGAGAACCACTGCCTTAACAACTGCACGATTTGTTTAACAACAGTGGCAAAAAAAAAAAACTGCAAGAAAAAAATCCTAGCACAGCTTCGGCCCGATCTTTCCCAGAATGCCCTATGTACACGTTCTGCCTCCTGCTGCACAGAGGGCCCGCAGCTTTCTCACCAGAGCTATGCCTGGTTTTAAAATCCAGGCTGTCAATCTTCATCCTTCTCAGCTGAGCTGTCTGTGGACACAGCCCTGAGCCGAGGTCTCATCCATCAAACAAACATGGTCAACTTCCAAGGCTGTTTCCAGACGAGTCCTTCTCTGTGCTCAAACACCCCTCTCTTCCCACAAATGAGTCTGACCTATATGCCCAGGGCTGGAGGCCAGGGAGTCTGACCCACAGGCCCGCAAGGGGAGAGCAGAAGAGGTGGGGGGAAGGGGCTTATAATTGGCTGGAGACCCCAAGAGTATACATTAGAGACCTGGTGGAGTCTAATATTTATAGCTCAGGGCTGACACGAGGGAGTGCTCTCTGAGCTGGCTTGTTTTCTCACAGACGTTTCATTACCAAACTAGGTAGCGTAATCAGCGCATCACGTTACCCAGTTTGGGTAATAAAAGGTCTGCAAGGAAACAAGCCAGCTCAGAGAGCACCAAGGACCTCTCAGATCATGGTCTGTTCAGGCTTGCTAGCTGCAATATCCACAAAGCCTCCAGGGCTGCTTCGTTCAAAACAGTACAGGTCCCCTATCTGTAATGGAGGAAGACATGTAAGGGCACTAAATATGAGCGTGTAGACCTGTAGTAACCTCTATAATCCGAGATGTGACATTCCCAGCAGTGGGTGCAGGACAAGATTCCTTTAAGTCAAGCCTGGAGACTGACATCCTTGGTGCATTTCATGCTCAGATCTCTGGAATCTTGCAAGGGGAAAGACCAAGAACGCGAGCTACTGAAACTCGCCCGGAGAGCAAAAAAAAACCCAGAACAAAACATAAAAAAAACCCACTGCCTCTTTTTCTTCAGCGTCCTGCTATCTGCGCTGCAGGTTTGTTTAAGTTTCATGTTTTTGAAGCGGCATGTTCAGTGTTTCTGTACACAGAAGGAACGCGATGTGCTTTCCTTGTGCGCCCAGCCAGCTAAAACAAACTTAGCCATGTTGCTAAGAAACTACAAAGGATTCTGGGATTGGTCCCCTTTGTGGATGGAGGAAATTGCTGGGGGGGGGGGAGGAGAGAGAGAGAGAGAGAGAGAGAGAGAGAGAGAGAGAGAGAGAGAGAGAGAGAGAGAGAGAGAACGAGAACAAATCCTGCTCTTCTGCATTTTTCAACCGAGACGGAGAAATCCGTGGCCGAAGGCCGAAAAAGCCTGAGCAATCTCAGTTAAATAGATAGATAGATAGATAGATAGATAGATAGATAGATAAATGGGAGGGAGGGAGGGAAGGAAGGAAGGAAGAAAAAGGGAGGGAGGGAGGAAGGAAGAAAGAAAAAGGGAGGAAGGAAGGAGGGAAGAAAAGGAAGGAAGAAAGAAAGAGAGAAAAAGGAAGGAAGGAAGGAAGGAAGGAAGGAAGGAAGGAAGAAAGAGGGAGGGAGGGAGGGAGGAAGAAAGAGAGAGAGAAAAAGGGAGGAAGGAAGGAGGGAAGAAAAGGAAGGAAGAAAGAGAGAAAAAGGGAGGAAGGAAGGAAGGAAGGAAGGAAGGAAGGAAGGAAGGAAGGAAGGAAGGAAGGAAGGAAGGAAGGAAGGAAGGAAGGCAGCCAGCCTTGGAAGCCAGACGCAATGCTCGAACAATCAAACTCTGCAAACACTGATTAATCTTGCCAGGAGAGGATCCACTACTCTCAGCCGAAAAGGGAAAAAAGGGAAGCCTGTTTTTTTTTCTCTCTGCACGTGCCCAAATGCACGGGCGACAAAAAAGGCAGCCGAGTTCAAACTCAAAGAGGGCTTCGTTCTTTGGACGGGGCAAGCAAAGATGGAAGGGAGTGGCGTTTTGCCTCTGGATTGCCAATCGAAGCCGAGCCCTTTCGGAACAGGGAATTTCACTCCTCCAACTAAGGATTTGATTTCAAGGACGCTAAAAATATTCCGCAGGGCCAGAAAGTAGCCCCCCTCCTCAAAAAAAAAAAGTTGCAAGGGAAGATTGAATCCTGACAACTGGAAGGCAAACAAGCCAAGAGCAACAGATGGAAATTAATCAAGGAGAGAAGCAGCCTAGAACTAAGGAGAAACTTCCTGACAGTGAGAACAATTAACCAGTGGAACTCCTTGCCTCCAGAAGTTGTGGATGCTCCAACACTGGAAGTTTTTAAGAAGAGACTGGACAGCCATTGGTCCGAAATGGCGTAGGGCGGGGGTAGGCAACCTCGGCTCTTTTATGACTCGTGGACTTCAACTCCCAGAATTCCTGAGTCAGGGATTCTGGGTATCGAAGTCCACAAGACGTAAAAGAGCCTACCCCTGGTATAGGATCTCCTGCCCTCGCAGGGGGTTGGACTAGAAGACCCCCGAGGCCCCTTGCAACTCTTATTATTCTATGTTCTGTCCCTGGGGTGCCCCTGCATAATTCCTCCTCTGCTCCGTCCGCCACCCCGCCTTTTACATCTTCTCTGCTGCTGCTGCTGCTGTGGCAAAATGAAAAAAAATAAAATAAAATAAAACCTTCCCTGCGGCTCCATTGGTAGATCCACCCTGTGGAAGCCAAGAAACCTGGCTTGGCTAAAAAAAGCAAGCGACGAGTGAACAACGTTATGCCTTGTCAAAGCAAGGCTCCTTCACTGCGTTACAAATTGTTCACAAGCATCCTGGGGAAAATTAATGTCTCAGATCTGGCCCCTGGAAGAGTGTGTGTGTGTGTGTGTGTGTGTGTGTGTGTGTGTGTGTGTGTGTGTATGGTGTGTGTCCCCGTGTGTGTGATTTTTATTTAGATTGACAAACAGGGCTTCCAAACGAAGCCAGGTGTTGGGAAGGGGCTTTAAAATGTATGAACTTGCAAATACGGCCAATTCATTTTTGCCCTCCCCATCAAGGATGTGACGGCTGACGGAGCGGACGTATTAAAGGGGGATAGGAACCCGGCTCCTTTCCTTCCAGCTGGGGAGCACCCTGTCACCCCAAAAGCAGGCTGGACGCTGAAAAAAAGCCACTTCCTTCCAGATTTAAAGTCGCAAGAGTCAGATTTCTTTCAGGCTCTGGTCTGGAGTTCAGAATGCAGAAAAGCCACTCCTAATTTGGTGTTTAGGAGGGCGTTTTTGCTGGCCCCCCGACAGTGGCCAAATAGGGGTAACTGGCGCAAGGCTGGGCCCCCAGCGGTGGGGACCTGGCAGCTGGGGGAGACCGGGCTGGGCAAGAGACCCCTGCCGCCTCTGGCTACCTTCCCGAGGATGCCGAGAGGACAAGCCAAGCCCAAGAAGACCCTTCTCACCATTTCGTCTTCCGTCCAGCATTTTTCGATCAGTTTCGGGACGGGCTTCCTCACCAGACGCTGCAGGGCCTTCCCGGCGTCGTAGTTGCTCTCGTGTAGCTGCAAGGAGGAGGAGAGAAAAGGGGGGATCAGCGTGGGAACAGCGCCAGAGAGAGAAAGAGAGAGAGGAACCTTCTCCCAGACGTGAACCAACGGGGGGGGGGGGGGGAAGCTTAGCAGCCGAGGCCGAAGACCGTGCAACGTTTCCAGAGTCTTCCCACATTGGTCTGCATGAGAACGGAAGCACCCCTGCCGTTCCCGTGACTTGGCAGACCTAGGGGTAACCCCCTTTCCCTCCATCCCCCCTCCCCTCCAACGCTTCATGAATCACCCCGTTTTTTCCTGAGCGTAACCCGTGGGGGGGGGCGGGCGTAAAACTAACCAAACGGGTTGAGTTGGCACCAGGGGCTCCAATGAAACTTAACCAACCGTTCCATCCCCTCGTTAATCAAGGCAGCTTGCTGGAGCGGACTCCAGAGCCCATCGCTCAGAAGCAAGGAAAGGTGCAAAGGAGAGAACAGGGAAGACTTTATTTATGTATGTATATATGTATGTATGTATGTATGTATGTATGTATATATATAGAGAGAGATCTGCTGATTAGGTACGTGGACTGAAGGAAGATAAGAAGACATTTGCTGCACACTTTCTCTTTCCTTTCCCCCAGCTTAGTGGTGGAGGCATAGAAAGGGTGTGTGTGTGTGTGTGTGTGAGAGAGAGAGACACACACACACACACACAGAGAGAGAGAGAGAGAGAGAGAGAGAGAGAGAGAGAGAGAGAGAGAGGGAGAGAGAGAGAATACAAAATCATTGCTTTGCAACTGCCAACGCTGTGATGTGCATGTTTTGTTTTTCTGAAAAGCTCAAATGAAGGCAATTAAACATCCGGGGCCTGGTTTAATATCCCTGTGGCTTGCAACTTACCTGTTTTAAATGCTAATTCCCCCCCCTCCTCTATTCACCCTCATTTATCTCACAAGAGCCCTTAAAGAGTGCTGCCCCCTCACACAAGCACGCCTTATTAGCCTCACTGCAAGGTGAACGGGTTTGTGTGTGTGTGTGTGTGTGTGTGTGTGTTTGTGTGTGGAGGTGGGGGGTGCACTGGGGGCCTCTGGGCCTTCTATGCTCAGCTGTCAGCCCCCACTTCTGCTGGGTAATGAATCTGTGAATTACGGCCCCCGCCACTCCTGACATTGCCAGCTTGGCCACATCAAAATATTGTCCTCGGCTTGTAATTTATAACTTAATTTAAAAGGCCCCTGTTTCCCCGTGAGCTCACCAGATTGGAACCGCAGGTGCATATGTGTGTGTGTGGGGGGGGGACGACCGCCGGCTTTGCGAAGGCACGCACCTCCAATTACGGTCATTACCGGTCTGGCTTGAAAGCATCTGGGCCGCGATGGTGGGGGCGATAGGAAATAATGGGCGTCCATTAAGAACCCCAGAAGGCCGGTGGGCTGGTTGGGGAGGGCTAGCTTTGCAGATGGGCTCCCTGCAAAGAACCACACTGGGGGGGGAGTCTTGAGGCAGGGGGCTGCTGAGTTCCCCTCCCCCCCTTTAAGGTTGTGCTTGGGGTCAACTCACAATGCAAGTCTTGGCAATGCTTAACATAGAATAATAGAGTCGGAGGGGATCTTGGAGGTCATCTAGAGCCACCCTCTGCTCGTAAGCCATTTCAGACAGATGGGGCAGCCACCACTTCTGAAGGCAACCCTGTTTAATTGTTCTAACTGTCAGGAAATTCCTCCTTAGTTCCAGGTTGCTTCTCTCCTTGATTTAGTTTCCATCCGTTGCTTCTTGTCCTGCCTTCAGGCGCTTTGGAGAATAGCTTGACTCCCTCTTCTTTGGGGCAGTCCCTCAAATACTGGAACAGCACTATCATATCTCCCCTACTCCTTCTTTTCATTCAACTAGACACACCCCATTCCTGTAACCGTTCTTCGTAGCCCCCTAATCATCGTTGATGCTCTTCTCTGCACTCTTTCCAAGTGTCAACATCTTTTTTTTTTTTTATATTGTGGTGACCACAACTGGATGCAGCATTCCAAGCGTGGCCTTACTAAGGCTTTGTAAAGAGCTACTAGAACTTCACACGATCCTGATTCTGTCTCTCTGGTTAATGCAGCCCAGGATTGCATTGGCTTTTTTTGGGGCTGCTACCACACACTGCTGGCTTACATTTAAGGACTCCCAAGATCCTTCTTGCGGTTACTGCCATTAAGCCAGGTTTCACCTAATCTGTGCCTGTACAGTAGAGTTTTTCAGGGTTTCCCAACTTTAAGATACGCAGACTTCAACTTCCAGGATTTTCCAGCCAGTAGGGCTGAATTCTGGGAGCTGAAGTTGGAAACACGGCAAGGTCATCCTTGACAGAAATGCAGAAATATCACATTCTAAGACGTTTTCTTCTGCTTCTGTAGGTTAGCTGGGACTTGATGATCAGTTATGAAAGGCTATAAAAAAGATGGGTGGGTGGACTTTAGCACAACCCTTCAACAGGATGCTTCTCAGTCATGAAAAAGTGGTTCCAGACCCCCCACCGGCCCCCCATAATTCTGAGCCAGGCACTCAACTTCACCCATAGGTTCTTAAGAGACTAAAGCGGCGTGCGTTTCAAAAAAGTCGACCATCAAGGACATCAGAAGCCGGAGAGCGAAGGCTCGCTCTACAATAAAATTACACTCAGACGCCGCTATCAAACGCCAGCTTAGCGCCTGTGAATTTTAATTAAGAAACAGATTTACAAGGCTGCGAGATTTTAAAGGCAGAGGCTGTTTCGGCCGAGGATGGGGGGGAAAGGAGGGAATTCATTCAGCTTTCTTTCTTTCTTTCCTTTCTTTTTTTCCTGCATAAAAAATAATAGTTGGAAAGAAAAAGAAGGAAAGGAAAAGAAATCTCCCAGCGAGGAGTTATCAGCAATCGGCATTTTTATACGCTGTTAAAACCAGGCTGGGCCTGAATTTCCTGGCCTTTGATGTTCTTGGATGGGAACTTTTTAAGAATGTCTGTCTCTTGAAATATATACAGAGACCCAATCTCAGATATTTTAATGTAAGGGGGGGGGGAGAACCGAGCTGCCTTGCATGCCGACATCCTCGCTCCAAATTCTATTCTATTCTATTCTGTTCTGTTCTATTTCTATTTCTATTCTATTCTTTCCATATCCTATTCTATTCTTTCCATATTGTATTCTTTCCATATTCTATTCTATTCTATCCATATTCTATCCATATTCTATTCTATTCTATTCTATTCTATTCTATTCTATTCTATTCTATTCTAATTCCCTATCCTATCCTATCCTATCCTATCCTGTCCCAGGGGTTCCCAACCAGAGTTGCTCACCCCGGGGAGGGGGGAGATGATATTCCAGGGGGTGCGAAAAGTTGGGTTTTCAAAATTACAGTGTGTATCGATAATTCGTTGCCGTTATTTCAAACTTTTGTAAGGGGTGCGAGAATATATCAGAAGCATCCTAGGGGTACGGGACATAAGAAAAGGTTGGGAGCCGCTGCCTTCGCCAATCAGCAGCCTTGCAAATTTAAAAAAAAACAAAAAAAAACCAAGGTGGATATGTGCCATGCCTCTCTTTCGCCTGAAGAGGGTGTTGTAGGAACACACATATCCAGATAGTACCTTGAGGCTAAATGTCATCCTTAACGGGAACCAGGATGGTGAAAATGTTTGACTGCCAATCTTCGCCTGTGGCTCTGATCTACTTGCTCTAAAACTAAACCGAGTTAACGGGCATCCTTGACAATTGATCATTAACAGACTAAAGGAGTAAGCCAGCATCCGTCATCCGCCTGCCTGGTCCCTAACCATTTCTCCCAAGGATCACTTCCCATCCCACTAGATCTGCTAAAAGCATTGAAAGTCGAGGGAGGGAGGGAGGGAGGGAGGGAGGGAGGGAAAGAAGGAAGGAAGGAAGGAAGGAAGGAAGGAAGGAAAGAAGGAAGGAGAGAAGAATAAATGGGATGGGGAGGGGAGGAAGGATATATGGAGAGAATGATAAATGGAGAGGAACGGAAGGGGAGGGAGGAAGGAAATGTAGCCTTGTCGTTATGCAAATAGACCCGGGAAGGAAATGTTCCAGCAGCTAATAATATAAATGCTGCACAGCAAAAAAAAAAAAAAAAAAAAAAAAAAGAGAGAGAGAGAGAGAGAGAGAGAGAGAGAGAGAGAGAGAGAGAGAGAGAGAGAGTGAGTGAGTGTTTCCTTGTTCTCTCCTTCCTTTTGGGTGTAATTAACAATAAATCATGCTGAGGATTACAGCACCCTGTTATTACATAAATAAAACACTGGGAAAGAACTTTGTCAGGGATGATTTATGTGAAGTGCCTAGCTCTGAAGTTTACTGTTATTTCCATAATAAGGAATCATACAGCATATCAATTTTTTACCCCATTATCATTACCAAAACACTCACACGCCCCTCCGCCCAAGCAGAAACGGATTCCCACCCAGGCCTGGGAAACCAGACGGGGCAGATCTCCGAAAAAGCAAGGTTTGACAGGCTGATTTGGGCTGTAAAACGAAACAGGTAAGCGATGTTCCAGAGGCTACTTCAGGCAACTTGGCTTCTGGAAGGCTAAATAGTTCCTTTAAAAAAAAAAAAAAAACAACCACCTCCAGTTCCGATCCAAGGCAACAGATAAATAGAATATGAGCTGCCCCTCGATGTCTTTTGCAGTGGTTTCAGAAAAGACCCTCAAATAAAGGGAGGCAAAGGAGAATGGAAAAAAAGAAAAGAAAGGCAAACAGGATCACCAATCTTAGCCCTAATAAAGACATTATTTCCATCTAGTTGGGCTGTATTCCTATTATCCTTCTCATCTTTTCTACCGCCTTCTCTTATTGGTATCTTATAATGATATTACTTTGTTGTCTATTCTATTTTCTATTCTATTCTCTATTCTATTCTATTCTATTCTATTTTCTATTCTATTCTATTCTATTCTATTCTATTCTATTCTATTCTATTCTATGCTATGCTATGCTATTCTTTTCTTTCCATATTCTATTCTATTCTACTCTACTCTAGTCTATATTTTATTCAATATTCTATTCTACTCTACTCTACTCTATTCTATTCTACTCTACTCTACTCTATTCTAACTGAAAAAGCAGAAGACATGGGCTTACTGTGTTGAGGGCGTTAAGAGTGGTGTCATCCCGGGAAGCCGCCACGCACCCATCTTCTGTCGAGCCGCCGTCACACATCCCGGCAAATGCCGCCATGCTCCTTCAAGTCAAAAAAGGAATGGAATTTTAGCAGGTTGCAAACATCTTCAAGGTGAAGTTAGCAGAGCAAAGACGAACAGCCCTGAGATCAACAACCAATTTTTCATGAGGCTAGCCCCCCCACATTTCTTTTCTTTTCTTTTCTATTCTATTCTATTCTATTCTATTCTATTCTATTCTATTCTATTCTATTCTATTCTATTCTATTCTATTCTATTCTATTCTATTCTATTCTATTCTATTCTATTCTAATTCTATTATATTCTGTTCTTCAGCTGTCAATCACAATGGGTAACAGATACAGAATGAGAAGTCCTCGACTTATGTCCTGGGGGCAGTCGCGCAGCGCATCTCTCTTTGTGAAAATGCAGCCCAGCTTTCCAAGCTTCAAGTTGCATTCATGCACCTATGCACCAAGCAGCGGGCGCCCCTTTCTCTGATAGGAAGAGCAGAGCGGCCCCAGGTGGGTGTTTGCACGAGGCCCTGGGCGGGCCAATTTCTGAACAGGATGTTCTGGGGATTATACCTTGCTGCCCGCAGGTACATGAGCAGGTCGCAGTCGTTCACCCCCGGCATCCAGACCAGCTCCTCGTGACGCGTCACTGCGTCCCCATCTCCGGAAGGGAAGGGCTGCAGCTCAGGGAGCTTGGCCTGTAAAGAGAGAAAGCAGAGCAGGTCTCCCGTCACCTCCCTTCGTACTGACCCTTGAAACGAACTTTTAAAGCCCAATCAGAAAGTCTAGAGTTGTATAGAAAAGCTGCTTGGGGAGAGGAAGGGGCTTCACACCACCATCCGTAAACGAACGGAGCGAGCGAGAGAGAAAACGAAAAGGGCGAGTGTTTTTTCTTTCTAATCTAAGCTTTTCATGTGTCACTCGTGTGCAACCGGTGCAGCTAAGCATTGATGCAGCCAATAAGGGAGACTTCTCCTTTCTAAGGCTGATTCAGGTAGTCCTCAATTTACAACAGTTTGTTACGGTTACGTGGAGAGAGGTTTTTCCGTGGCCTGGAGGGTGTGTGGTTTTGTGTGCTGCCTGCATTCCATGGATGGGGCTTTCCTTGTTTGGACGGACCGGTTGCTGGCATGCTGTGGCCCGGTACTGGTACACGGACCGGGGGTTGGGGACCCCTGCTCTATGCCAGCGGTCCCCAACCTTTCTGGCTTTGTGGACCGGCAGTGGCAAAGGGGGGGGAGGATAGGGGACGGTTCTGCTCGCACAAATGGAGCTTCACGTGCAAGTGTGCGTCCCTGCCACTCGCGCCAAGTGGAGTTGCGTGTGCTCGCCTGCTGCTTGCATGGCCCGGTTTCGAACAGATCACGGCCCGGTACTGTGGTTGTAGCCCAGGGACTGGGGAGCCCCGCTCTATGCCAATAGTTACTATTAAGCCCCTCAGAAGCAAGCAGGGATGGCTATGTTTCAGTTATGCCACGTGACACCCCTGTTTCCTGAGCTTTGCTGACTCCCCGTTTGCTTCTGGGTGCAATTTAAGGGGCTGCTTATGACCTCAAAAGCCCTACATAGCAGAGAACCTGGATAATTTGAGGGACCACCTCTCTGCCACGGTGTCTGATTGATCAGTTTAAGGGGCAGGGCTGGGCTGCTCCAGTTATCTATCAGGAGAGGTGGGGGGGCTTCTCTGTCTTAGCCCCTGTCCTCTGGAATGAGGTCCCCCTGAGACACACGTGCCCCACTCCAAAAGGAGTTCTGCAGAGCTGGATACGAGATGGTGAGATATTCGGGCATCTATTGCATGAACTCTTTTGTTCTTCTTCCTCTTCTCTTCTAGCTGTTTTTGTGGTTTGTGGCTTCTGCTTACATAATGGGTGTTGTTGTTGTTTTTTTATGTTGCTTGGTGCTCTACAGGTTACCCATGAGTCGTTTGGCATCGAGTTGAACAACTAGGCTACAAGCAACAGCAATGCTACAACCAGGCCCTGTTTGCGGAATGGCTTGTCGCCAAAACCGCACAGCGATGTGACAGGCCCCTGTGTGATGCTAGGGGCAATCTTACCTGATGGCTGGGCCCAACCCGGATTTCTCCTTGAGTGCTGTTCAGCCTCCTGTAAATTAAAGATACAGGAGAGTTAGTCAGATCACCCAGACTGGGCCGTGAGTACGTCCTCTACTACAGGGGTCTCCACCCCCCGGTCTGTGGACCGGTACCGGGCCACAGCATGCCAGCAACCGGTCCGCACAAACAAGCAAAGTCCCATCCCTGGGATGCAGGCAGCACACAAAACCACGCACCTTCCGATCCGTGGAAAAACCTCTCTCCACGGAGCCGGTCCCTGGTGCTCCAAAGGTTGGGGGCCTCTGATCTACTGCAGGAGAAGGGAACCCGAAGCCCTCCAGATGCCAACCAACTACAATTCCCAGCAGCCCACATCCCGCAGGCGCTATGTTGCTGGAGGAATGGCACAGATCCCCAGGCACTCACTGCCCTCCAGCAAATCCTTCTCCTGCTGCAGGTCACTTGAACAGCAGGCGCAACGGTGCTCAAAAGGCACAGGAAACGGGGTGACTTCCAAAGCGGGTTCACCAGGGTGCAATGAAGCAGCCCTCGGTGGACAGGTGCAGGTTAGAAGGTGGATGGGGCACAGCACACGATCTCTGGGCTTTAACCTTCACAAAGGGAGGGGAAGGGAAAGTACAAACAGATAGAGAAAGGAAATGGGGAGGGAAGGGAAGGGAAGGAGAGGAGAGGAAGACGAAGAGGAAGAGGGGAGGAGAAGGGGAACTAGAGCAGATCTACTGAAATATTATAGCCAATCTGTCTGTGTTCTGGGTCATCTATTCTGACCCGAAAGCTGCTCCTTCTCCTAAATAGGATGATGTATCTTCAGTTTGGTTTGGCAGACACTGAGCCGTGGGGTCCTTGGTGCTTCTCTGAGCTTGGTGGCTTTCTTACAGACATTTCATTACCCAACTAGGTAACATCAACAGTGCTAGAAGGGAGCGGGGTTTGCAGAGTGGAGGAGGAGGAGGAGGAGGATTGTGGGGTCCTTGGTGCTCTCTGAGCTTGGTGGCTTTCTTGCAGACATTTCATGCCCCAACCAGGTAACATCATCACTGCACTGATGAAGTTACCTAGTTGGGTCATGAAATGTCTGCAAGCAAACCACCCAGCACACAGGGCTCCCAGGACCCCACTGTTGTACCCTGAGCCACAAATATTCTCTTCTATAGATACTGAACCAACTGCCCCATTTCAAAGCCCCACGTTCAAAATCCAAGAAATAATTCTGCCCCATTCCTTCTTTACTTTCTGCCTCCGCTGTGTGAAACCCAGGGGCAGGGGAAAAGGTCCTCACCCTTCAAGGCCGATTCCTGGTTCCCTTAACTTATAATAATAGTAATAATAATAATAATAAAGTTGGAAGGGACCTTGGAGGTCATCTAGTCCAACCTCCTGCTCAGGCAGGAGACCCTATACCATTTCAGACAAATGGCTGTCCAGTCTCTTCTTAAAAACTTCCAGTGTTGGAGCAATTCACTGCTTCTGGAGGCAGGTTGTTCCACTGGTTAATTGTTCTCACTGTCAGGAAGTTTCTCCTTAGTTCTAGGTTGCTTCTCTCCTTGATGAGTTTCCATCCGTTGCTTCTTGTCCTGCCTTCAGGCCCTTTGGAGAAGAGCTTGACTCCCTCTTCTTAGGGGCAGCCCCTGAGATACTGGAAGACTGCTAGCATGTCCCCCCTTGTCCTTCTCTTTGTTAAACTAGACATACCCAATTCCAGCAACCGTTCCTTATGTGTTTTAGTCTCCAGTCCCCTGATCATCTCCGTTGCTCTTCTCTGCACTCTTTGTAAACTTGCTCAGCATGGAAAGTAACCAAGGAGAGAAGCAACCTAGAACTTTCGCCTTCCAAGTTGCTTGTCCCTGGTGATGTACCCCAGGCTCTCTTGCTGTTCCGGATTGATTGCAAAATGGCAACGTTGGCAACTGAGTGATGCTCTGGTCTTATGTTCCTCTTCTCTCTCTCTCTCTCTCTCTCTCTCTCTCTCTTTCTCTCTCTCTGGAGTTGGTGGCGAGGCAAGAAAGGGGAAGCTGGATTATTATGTAAAGGGGGGGGGAGGAAAGAGAGGCAAGAATAGAAACCAATGTTCCCGCAGACAGGCCAGCTGGGTGTAATCTTTTCTTCAGGTCCAGCTCTTTTCTTCCACCGCTGGTTGAGAGCGAGGAAAACAAGCTGCAGAAGCTTCCGACACTTTGGGGCACAATGGCTCCCTGGCGACAAGAACGAGCCAGAAAAAAAAAAACAAAAAAAAAAACCCACAACCCTCCTTGTGATCTTCTACAGCAGGACCGAGAAAGGCTGCGGCCTTTTAATGTTGCCTTGGCCAGCTCAACAAAATCCAAGGAGAGAACGCAGCCAGGAGACCAGTTTAGCATTTCCATTTTAAACGGCATTTTTAGCACTGCTCTTCTCCTAGACGTGACCCTGGGGCTAGAAGCGAAAGCAAAATAGATATCCTCCAAATAGAAATAGGGTGTTGGATTTTGACAACGGGAGAACGGCTGGGAAAAAGTGAGATATTTTTATTGTATTTTTGGGTTGCTCGATGGAACTGGAAAATAACATACTGATCATTCATGGTGTGCCCAGATCTGGGGTCATGTCTGCGTCTCAAATGTTTTTGGAAGCACCCAAAATATGGGGAGGGGGGGGGGGGAAGGTGTGAATGAAGAAAAGGAGCAGGGTAATTCTGAGCACCTGCTGGGTGCCAAATTGTCGGGCTGAGGCTGGCTGGGAGTGCTGGGAGATGTAGTCCCGACAAGTCTGGAGGCAGCAGTGATAGAAAGCTGGATGGGTCTGGAGCAGTGTTTCTCAACCTTGACAATTTTAAGGCATGTGGACTTCAACTCCCAGAATTCCACAGCCAGCATTGCCCTAAGTCCTACTGTTCTAAGCAGTGAGCCTCCTAGACCAGGGGTAGGAAACCTTGGCTCTTTTATGACGCATGGACTTCAACTCCCAGAATTCCTGAGCCAGGAAACCTCTCCCTTTCCCCTCAGCATGGCTGACTCAGGAATTCTGGGAGTTGAAGTCCACCAGTCATAAAAGAGCCAAGGTTGCCTACCCCTGGCCTAGGTGAATTTCAATTTCACTGCAACACAAACAGCCGACACTTAGACCCCCAAACGGGGTTATGAAACAAAACTCTCCAGGAAGATGTGATTGAAATTAGCCAAAGGAAGAAAAAAAGATGTGATTTTTTTTTTTTACTTTTCTCAGCAGGACCCACAAAAACATGCCGGCTTATCCAGCAGGTAGATGGTTCCCGGTGGATGAGAAAAATGGGGGGGGGGGGCAGGGGAGGCAATTTTGGCAAGGGACGACATCTTTTTTTGCCCTGATCTGACCCGAGACGGATGGGTCGGCCTTGAGCAGTGGGTTAATCTGTAAAGAGGTCGAGCTGAGCCACGTCAAGAGTTGGCTGCTTGCACTTCGAACTCGCAGCTCCCGGGGACTTAACCCCACCAGCCATCAGCCGGGGAGGAAGACTGGCTCACAAAAGCAGAAAAAAACGCTTTTTGCCCATTTCCTACACAGGTCCGTTTCAAAGGGATTGAAAAAAACAACCACGCTATTTCTAATAGCTTCCCCAGCCTAGAATAGCCATTTTCCCAGTGGAGGGCGAGAAAAAAAAAAGACAAGAAAAGAAAGATAAAAGCCAAAGAGGCATTTTTTAATTTAAAAAAAAAAAACGTGAAAGAGGGTGAGAAAAAAATATTTTTTGACTCTATTAGAGAGAAATGTATGGGATTAATTTATGTATCCATTCATTCATTCTGGGGGGGGGAAGCACGGGGTGGGGGGGGACAGGAGCAGGCTTGGAAAGGATGGGGGGAGGAAAACAAGAGGGATGGGGAGGGGGAAGAGGGGGCGCGCGGGGGGGGGGGTGCGAAATCCGACACCAAAGGCAAGCACGATGCCACAAAAGTGGTCGCCATGGCAACCCCCCAACTTAATATTTCAGCCCCTTCTCCAGCCGCAGTGGATTAAATGTAATGACGAGACGATCTCTCCCCCCCCCAGCCTTTGGCAGCAGCCACCTGTTGCCATGGCAACCTCGGTCGCCTATCACATAACAACAGGGGCTGGACCGCAAAAGGAATATCAAAAAGGATGGGATGGGGGAGGCGCCTCCCCCTCCCACCAGGACGTGGATGGAGGGGGGGGAGAGAGAGGGAGGAAGGGGCTCTTCCTCCCCGGAGGGAATTGCTCTTTGGGGAGGGGATTAAGGGGGGGGGCAGGAAGCTTTGATCCCCCAGCTGGAGATGATGATGATGATGATGATGATAAAGTTGGAAGGGGCCTTGTTGATCCCCAATGGCTAACCAGATCAGGAAATGTCCTCAAACTGAAGGTCTGTTTCAAGCCCCCCTTTGGAAGCGGAGGGAGGGTGTTTCACCCCATGGCTTCCCCTGGTGGCTTGGCCCCACTGGACCCATTTCACAGAAGGAAGCGTCAGCTCAGGAGCCCCACCAAAAGCCAGCTTCAAGGCCCGGAAGGGCTACAGCCCCCCTCTAACACTGGGGAGAGGCTGAACCAGGATCAAACCCATTGGGGGGGTGTGATGAGGGGGCTCTCCTGAACCAGGGGAGACCCTCATTTTTTTTTATTTTTGGGAGGGGGGAAAGGGGGCTTCCCGGCTGCCTGTTCCCAGAAGGAGGCGCAGAGTGCTTGATGGTTCCCAGAGACTGGATGACGGATGCACAATTTTAAAGATGCACACACACACACACACACACACACACACACACACAGGCTGTGTTGCAACTGGTGGGGCCTCCTGCATGCTCTCTCCTTCCCATACCCCTCCTGTCCTTTGGGACCTGCTAACACTTCCGTTCCCCTCCGAGGCTCCCCTTTTTATAGGAGGAGGAACGGAGGCCGACACAACGTTCCCTCTTGTCTGTGTGTGTCTGTGTGTCTTCGGATTTCTTTCCCAAGGGGTAGGGGAGAGAGTTGCCATGAAACCCCGCAAAGCAAAGGGAGGTATTTTGTATCCCTAACTAGGACTTCAGCAAGCAGAGAAAACTGGATGGACATCAGACG